CTGGACAACATCTGCAGATCAGAGACAAAGATAATGACTTTTAGGCATCTGCCCAACACTCAAGCAAAGTCGTTGAAATTCAGAAGAAAAAATCAACCTGTTACTAGGTGGCAGAAATGAAGCTGATTAAGTAGACTTGCTATAAATTGGGTTTTCTCATTGATACCAAAAGGATTGGTTCTTCTCAGAAACCTGTGCTGAGCAGGAAACATGGGATTCAGTGGAGCTTGCTGCCCTGCATGGCTGTGGGTGCCTAATGTCTCAAGGGCAGCTGCTACTTTAAATATATATGAATGGCTTTGCTCTTGCTGAAAAATTGGAGTGGGAAGTGGCAGAAATAGAGATTTGAGAATTCTACTTTTAAACAGGAAAGTGCTTACATAGGAATCAATCCAGAGTTGGAAAACAATTTTTCTAAGTACTTTTTTTTTTAACTATTTCTGGAAGCCTTTTAAGTTATAATTTCTGAACTGAGTACGGCAACAACTTCTGCTGTCCAGAAGGCTTTTGTGGTCAGCTCCATTGCTTTTTAAAAAGATTTTTCTTTTTATTTTCTTGGCGGGGAGGGGGGGACGACCCAAACAAAAAAACCACACATCTGAAGCAAGCTGGTTTGCATCCTGGTTCACAAAAATGGTTTATAGTCCTGACAATTAGCAATCTGTCATTAGAGCACAGATTAAGTATGATTTTGATTGGGAAGCTCCTGCCACCTTGTGGCAAGAACTTTCACCTTTCTTGAATCAAAATAATTAAACTGGATACCTAAAACCTCTGTAGAACAAATGTGCAGCTAAACAAACAGAAAGCAGGGAGACCAGTCACTTTGTTTGGTTTGCTTCACTATTTGAGCATTACTGCTTGTAAATATTACTAGTATTTTAAAATAAGCATAATTTAAATGAATAGATGAGCTTATTGCAACTTTTTTTTGTGCAGCTGCTTCTTCCATCTTTCTTTCCAACACACTACAGAAATTAATTCTGTGGAAGTAGAGTATTGAGCCAGGAGAACCGTCAACAACTTTGGTATTTGTATAAAAAGTTGTCGACAAGAGTCATTGATGGGTGTAAGTGTAGTACTCATGTGTGTTCATCCTGTAAGGTATCTGCTTTCATTATGGCACTGTTTGCTTTCAACTGTAGGAAACATTCAGCTATAGCTTCCTTCCTAGTGACTACAAAGTTTTCGTGACATCTTGATGTCCTTCATGAAGCCTTTTCTCTGTCCAGAACATGGGGAAAAAAAACCCAGTATCTGTGAAGAGAAACGTTAATCTTTGTACCCCTTCCTGTTTCTTTTGCATTTTGCAATTGGTGTCAACTGATGTGGTTCTGCATGTACATATCCTGAGAGTATATGGCATCATCTAAACTGTTTTCATGGATGCTGATCAAACTAGGGTCATGAAACTGTGGCAGCCTCAGCCACCCACAAGGCAGAGTTACATGGGAAAAATAAATTGTTTACTGACTTGGTTTGTAACCTCCTTGATTTCTCAAACTTAGATTAATATTTCTCGCAAGGTCTTATCTGAGAAATAGTTGCAACCATGATGATTTAAACATATTAAAGCAACCAATGAACCTCCCACCACCAGCCCCTCCAAGTGTGAACTCATTCCCTTTTAGGACCTGAATCTAATACTGAAATCAGCAGAAGAAACAGATGGAACTTAGTTTGCAACAGTTAAGACTGCTGGTATTGCTTTTTTTATGCAAACAGAAATCTTGATACATGGGATTTCCTCTTCCTAATATGTTTTAACAGTTTCTAATTAAAACACTGATAGCTGCACTCAAGAAATGCCAAACTGACAGCCCTGGAGACTGCAATCCTTACATGGAAGTGTAAGGCTAACCAAGATACCAAGTGTGGATACCTGATAAGCAGCATTTATAATACTGTGTTAATGTGGCTTATCCCTAAACCATTTCACTGTATGTGGTTTTAAAGCTGATTCCCACACAAAACTATATCCATGCCAAATGCTGGAGTGCTGTTACATAGGGTAGGTGATGCCACGAGCTGGTAGAGGATTTTATGGAGAAACCAAATTGCAATTAAAAAATGGCTGCCACTAGGCATCTGCATTTGCAAAGCCCTACTTCCCCAGCTGTGGTAATCTACAGTTTAATCTGTGCTGGTAGTAAAAACACTAGCACTTTGGACATGTAAGTGTTGAAATTAGTGAAGTGCTGTGTGGCTGGAACAAGCCTTCCTAGCGTGAAAAATAGTTCCACCACATAGTGTTATCCCTCTGTGTCCTGACAGCAACTGGTACGAGTTTAAGCACTGCAGTTATTTTATAGCTTCTCAGCTTGCTCCAAAACATGTCTGAGGTGAATATCACATGATATAAACATAGGCATAGTTATTATCAGGGAGAAGCAGCTGTGTAACAACATTCTGGACAATAAAGATAGCTCTCAGAATATTTATTAAGAGAACAGTCCTTCCAGATGGACTCTGCAGGAAGGACGTACATCACGAATGCCACATTCTAAGAATTATTATACACAAACAGCTGCTACGGCTCATCCAGGGCTATTGGAAGAAAAAGACAGAAGAAACCTGACTGTGAGTCAAAGGAAGAATTTGGCTTTTAGCAGCTTTAAAAATAAGTTACATTCTGAATCTGCACAGAAGTGACCTGTTAAAAGTCTAAGCAGGAGCTTAGTGGCTCAGCAAAAATTGTTCTTGAACAAGGAGTTGGTGAGCTTAGTTTTCCTGCAAGCACGTGGAAACATAGTGTTTTAGGTAGTAGAAATCAGATCAGAGATTAAACTTGACTTTGCAAGGAGAGAAAATTAAAGAAATAGGAAAAATAAATTGCAAGCGATGATGGTTATGTGATATTTACTTACTTTTGAAGACAGGGATAAGAATTTGAAAAGTTGAAAATTAACAAGGAAACATGAGCTAGAACTAGACAACAAGTGGGAAAATGAATCTGAGCCTGCTATTTGCTGCTTTAAATTAAATTTGGGAGATAGTTTTCTGTCATAGGCATAAAGATGGACCTGGCCTGGATCAAGCTTCAGATTAGGTAGAGGATATGTTCTAAAGAAAATATTTGCCTTTTCTCTTGATACTAAATTCGTACTGTTTAGGATTCTTTAGTCCACTTGAGTTGATGGTAAATGTTTATAAGTGAAGTTCACCACATTAGCAATGTGCAGCAGAATTCCAAGTGATGTAGTGGTTTCTGTTTAAGTTTTCCAGTTACTGGGAACTAGAGGATTGATGACAGACCTATGTTCCATTTAAGACATCAATTGCATAATAGGTCTGTGGTATTGTGAGACTTTGTTATTTCTCTGCAATGGAATCATAAACAAAAGCATGATGCCCTTTTGGTTTTCTGTACGAAGTATGAAGTAAAATAAAAATGATGATAAGCAAACATTACTTCTTTTGAAACTGCAGGATCATGTTTTTGCATGTCTTTGTTTCCAAACTGTCAGCTCCCACAAAGGGAGTGAACAGTCCCAGTAGTTTCAGAGACATAAGTATCTTTGAAAAGGTCACCTGTACCTTGTGAGCATTTTAACCCTTACAAGTATCATACAATGGCTCTCTGAGTCCTGATGAAAATCCAGCAGGTATAGTAAGAAGGGGTAGATATTTATTGGCTTGGGTATAGTCAGTGTGGCAAAGTCAGGTCAGCAGTAATGTCACAACCCAGACTGGACAGACCAGAGAGTTGTGTTTAATTTGAAATTCCCTCGGGCTAAATTGAGGTGAAATGACACCAAACGATCAGTTAAAGATTTTATTTATGACAAAAGCAAACTGAACTGGGGAGGCGTGGTAGTAGGTGGCAGTGTTTCTTACAATGGGAATTGCCATAAGACTACTTTTGTAAACCGTGTAACTATATACATCAATTCAGGGAATAAGGAGATCCCTCCTGTTGAGTCAGGAGGTTCAGAGCAGACCCCCTTGCTTTCCAGACTCCTCCTCAGAGAAGGGTCTACGCTGGATCCACTCTTAGTCTCAGACTTGGTCAACGGTTTATATCTTGAAACAGATGAGGTGTAGGGATTGTGGAAAAGGAAAAGGAAAGAGAGAAGACAGAGAGAGAGAAAGGAAGAGAGAAAGATTTCACGGGTCCTGAGTCCAGCGTTGGTTCAGTCAGCCGAGGGGTCCACTCAGCCGAGGTGTCCAGTCCCGGTGGGCTTGCACACCCGGGGCTTCAGTCTGTGTCTTTTTATCATCCTTGCCCCTCCTTCGAGCGGGCACCCGAACTCCTCAGGTTAATGAGCAGTTTGTGAGTCTTTGGGCTTGGGGGTCGTTGGTGGAGTAACTTCTTCCCTGCAGACATGGCCATTGTTTGATCTTTGTATCAGAACAGTTTATCAGGACAGGGAGCTGCGCTCCCCCTCCTGTTGCTGATGTCTGAGCTGATGGGCTTTTCACCTTGGTTCCTTGCTGTGCAGGGTTTGTCTTTAAGCAGAACTTGCCCCACCACAATGTTTGAGAGATTAACTCTTTCAGTCTCTTACAAGTAAGGTGCATACCTGTAACTGTGTTTACTGTAAGTTCAAATCTAAGAGACTCTTCTCAGAGCAGGTCAGCAAGAGGATGAGAGGCAACCATCACAGGCTGCAGCAAGGGAGATTCCCGTTGAGTATAACGGGGGAAAAATAATCAAAATGTGAATAAGCAAGCACTGGAACAGGGATCTGGAAAGGCTGTATAATCTTTTTATTGAAGACATCAAAACTTCCACTGGATGAGGGTCTGAGCAACCTGATCTAACCTTGAAGGGATCAGGTAGCTGGACTAGACGACATCCCACCAGACATCCCTTCCAACCTAAATTATTCTGTGATGAGGGGCACCTATTTCTAAACCATATAAACAGAGTAGTGTTAAACACATCATATGTTGGTGAGCAAATGCATGATGGACTGCACAAACAGCCTGCCACAAGAGGGAGGAAATGTTGGGTTTTGAACACAGCCCAGCACAAGGCTTGTAGTTCCCCTGTGGGCGGGAGCCGAGCTGAAAAGCTCTCTCACAGCTCTCTCCTATCTCTGAAAGGGGCCGTGTCCAAATCCCTGCTGAGTGTGAAGCCTGTGGCGTGAGCTAAAGAAATAGAGGACGTTTCTTCATTGCTGCTCTGATGCCAGGAGAACCTGGTGCCAAGCTTTGGCTCTTGCATCCAACACAGTGGAATGTGGATTTTGACTCCACTGCATTTTCCTAAGAAGGTAACCTGCTCCAAGTAGCCTTTAGATAAACAAGAAAAAGCTATAAATCTCATGTCAGCTTCCACTTTTCAACTCTGCTTAGTCAGCATGGAAAAAAGCGGTGTGGGTTTTGTATTTTAAATGTTGTTTAAGCAGGGGTGCCTAATATACCATGTTCTTAATTTTGCGTACTGCTTGCAATACTCCTTCAATTTTCAAGAACTGATTTCTGAATGATGATATACTTATGTGTCTTTTTTAATGTAAACAGTTTCAAAGGCAAATGCATCTTACTGTCAAAGTATAAAGAAAATCTTGCATGAAACCTAGAAGGTACTTAAGTATAGCAAATCTATAGGAAATTCTTACAGCTACCAAGAGTAGCATTTTTGTACAAATACACAGAATGGAGATTTGGTAATGTATAGATAAGTATAATTTCTGTTAGCAGTCAAACTGCTTGAAGAACATGTAGGTACAATTCCTGCTTAAAAATGTTCCTGAAAATCACTATGTATTTCATATTGATAGAAAAATACTAAGTAATTGGACCAAAATTTACTATGTGTAGTAGTTTTTATAGCATCAGAACAGTGTTATTGTGTGAACAAGGCTTGCTACTTTCTCATTAAGCATTTTGAACTGACAAATTTTGTGGATTTCTGGAATAGCAGTTTTACTGTACAATGCCACAGAGTACATAATAAGCTATTAAAACAGTGTTCCCTTTAAAGTAATTTTGTCAGGATCTGGCAGACTTCTAGAGATACAGGTTGCAGATCTGATCTATATTTTGGCCCGAGGAATTTGAAATCAAAAAATGCCTGCAGAAATTACTTTGCCTTTTTGATGCCAGCTTGCCAGAATTCTGATGCTTGTGCAATTTTTTGACCTTTCATTTTTAGCATTTTGCATGCTGAGCTGCCACAAACAAATTTAACATTTTCTAGATTAGAGATACAAGGATTTTTTTCACTGTGGTACAAGGTCTGTATTTGTGCTTTGACATTTGAGAGAAATCTCTATGGTTGCCACAACGCAGAAAAGAAAGAACTTCTGATTGCTCTCTATTCCTTACAGTTCTGTAAAAGTGCTGTTCCACTAAAGTTTTTGGGTCTCACAATGCATGTATGTTTCTGATGCATGTTTATGGAAGAAAAACTTCTTCTCTGAGACTGTACTCCCATCTGAGGAAGGATTTTGAGGATGAGGTGTTACCAGTAACTGCTGTTCCTCAAAATCTTTCATTTGATTGCAATGACCAGAAGAAAACAAAGCGCTCTCTTTTAGAATGAAAAATGTGGGCAGCACTAAAAAAGTAAAAAATGAAAAAAAAAAAGCCATGGTATGTTTGAAAATGCTGTCTTTTTAAAACTGTTCATGGCCATCTCTACTGAGAGTTCTTACTTGAGTATGCTGCTTAACACAGCTGTGAGGGAGAGACAGGTAAACTCCGCTGTGGCACATACACCCAAGTAAGCATTTTTGTGCTGAAGCAAAGTTCATTACCTCCTGTGAGAGCAGTATTTCCGTGGGCTGCATCCATTATGATAAAACTCAGTTGTTAATGATCAGTAATGGTCATCCTTGTGGCCTTTGTCTGACTCTCTCACTATTTTGTAGCATTGTTTTTTGAAAGCAGTATCCAAACACTTCCAAAATATTAGAATAATTTTGGAACTGGGCAAAACTCTGCCAAAACGAATGAGTCTGTCAGGAGTAGGGGCTGGAGGGGACATGGCTTGCACTGACCCTGGCATGGAGAAGAGCACATGTTAAATAAGGGACAGGAGCATGGGACAGGTGGCCCAAATGGGGTGACTGGGAAGAAGAGTGTTCCTTTCATATAATCTGCTGTCTATAGCTTTGAAACCTATTGTGGTCCATATAGTCAGGAGTACCTTCACAGAGAGGAACCCTGGACTAGTTGTTTTCTCAAGTCTGTACGTGCTATTCAACGGGTTCTGGTTTGCATTCCAGGAAAGCAGTATCACCAGACCAGAGAAAGAGGAGGCTGCACATTAACAAAGAAGCCTGCTGACTCCCTGCATCAAACACTGCTGGCCAGCCCCTTTCACTGAGGTCAGCACTCTTAAGCTGGACACTGTTTTGCCTGATAATATGTGGTCTACTACACTGGTATAGAAGTAGTTGACAGGCTGTTCTGGTTTGTTCTGCCTTTAGGAAATCATGCCATAAAGCATGTCTGTCTTGAAGTTAAAAGAATTTCAGTAATTTAGGATTTCTGAGAAAATAGTTCTCATCATTAGTAATTCGATAAAAAAATGCATAGCATTAGCAAAGCTCCTATTTACTTCAAAATTACTGGATTGAGCAATTTGAATTTGTTAGAAAGTCTTAAAAACTGCACACAGGAAAAAAACACGGTGAAATAAAGGATGAAAACCTAGGAAAGAAATTCAGTAGTTGTCCTTTTCTTAAGGGAAGTTATAAGAAATCTTCCTGTATTTAAAATATAATTTTTATCTGTAATAATAAAATTTGTTATGGAATTGTTTTAAAGGAGAAAGCAATGAATCTCCTACACTTCAGTTGCAAAGAAGTCTTGCCACCTGCGGTTATATTGCATCTGGAAAACTTGCAGTCTACATGCGCGGTGGATAGCATGTGAAATATCCAAGGATGCACTTAAATTCAAGGCTGAAAGCTAAGAGCGACTTTCTCTGTATATGGAAGTACTGTAATTGCCCCTAGTGAGTTCCTCTTTCCAAGGAAGTTTGGGACAAGCTACCCTGCTTGTTCCTTTCTCTTCCTAGAGATCCTGAAATGCCTTCCAACCACTACTGTATATATTCCCTTTTATTCCTGTTTTAAGCAATAAGTTTAACAGCACCATGTTTTCTCATTGCTTGATGGCACTTCATTGCACCTTTGCACAGGCAGGGAAGGAATAGCAGGTTGGAAATTATAAAATGTAATACAGCACCAAGGAGGTTTCTAAACAGGGGAACAGACAGACCTGACATGATTCAGGGCTGGTGATGGTGGAAGGAATTTCAAGCAAAAATTGAGAAAGGTTTGAAAGACTATCTTGATGACAAAGCGAATTTCAAAGGGATTGGTATCTTTTCTTAGAAACGTCATAGTATGATGCATGTGTTCTGCTCCTAAAAATATGTTTAATATTTATGTATTACTAATTATGCTTAATTATTATTTAAGGAATAGGGAGAATCCATGCTTTGACCAGTGGTCAGCAAGGAAGTTTTTACCTAAGATCCTGGTCACCTTGTGTTGTCTGTGCTGTTGCAACTATGCTGCTGCCATGATCTGAGGTAGTTAATTCAGGGCTACACTAGGATTATCTACATGAGATCTCAGCATAACTGGACTGTGGGGGGGGATGAACTTTCTTCATTTTTCAGGTTATATTACTATCTTGAGCTGTGAGCTCTGTTTTATTGCACTTTATTATATTTGATTTGGCACAATAATTCAACAAATTCAAGTATTAATATAATGGCTGTCATGAAGTGTTTTAATAAAGACTAAGATGGAAGATAGGGACTTCAAATGGGATGAAAGGAATGCCATTCCTAGCTGAGATTTGCTGCTCTTAAACAGCAGCTGTTTACTGAACCTTCTGCAGTGAGGTCTGGCCTGCCTGCTGGAAAGGGGAGGAGGGGCCAGGCAGCTTGCCCATACTTCCGAAGATGGTAAATGACAGAAGCATGCAGAAAAACTTTCCTTTTTAACTGTGAAATTTTCCAGTAAAATCTATCTATTTTAAAAGAGCAACCCCCCCTTGTTGCATCCTTATATGGCAGATGTGGCCATCCTGCTTCATTATAGCTCTGTCCTCCCTGACGTGGGAATACTCTGTGTAATGTATGCTTTCTCAGCATTTATGTTTTATTGATAGTAACTTCCTAGCTGTTCATGAAGAGCTTGGAGAATGTAAACCAATGGTAGAAGCTAGCAAGTGTGAGGCAGTAAAGCTTTATTTCTGTAGCGTGTCTGCAAAGACTCCCTCTGTGCCTATTGCAGCTCTCCAGTGACTGTCAGGGTTTATTTTGGGCTGTGGGCTGATGGCTTTTCTAAGCTTGATGCCGCAAAATTGCTGCGCCTGTCCTGTGTGCAGAGCTATGGTGGGCATGAAAAGCAGTTATGCTCTCAGAGAGATGCAAAGGTAGGTATGGAAAGAGACATTTTGGCTCTGAAGTGTAACGTGGAAGAAGAGAGGGAGCAGCATTTTGCACCTCCCTCCTTATCTCTCCCACAGGGTGTGTCTCTGTATGTTGCAAGCCTGTGATGTTTTGTGTAGCTGGAGTGGAGCTGAAAGTAAGAAGAAAGTTTTCTCTTTGTACTTATACATATTTCTTTGGGACAGACTTTTGGTCTGCGGGAGACTCAGCTGTGGTGCCTAACTCAGAACTGAAGAGATGTATTTCAGTTCCTGGAACAATTTCATGAGACTGCCTCTGGGTTTGTCCCATGGGGACTAATGGTGTGCTTTGCTTTGCATACCCCAGGGCTGGGAGGAAGGAGCTTGGCAAGAGAAGTAGCAGGCTGTTGGGCCTGGTTTACTTTATATCCCCACTACATACTATCTTCCAATTTTCTGCATGAGGTTAATTAAAATAAATTAACTGTAAGCAAACTGCTGCAGTTTTAAATGCATATAAGATTCCAGTAGGATTCTGTTTATCTTTTCTTTTTTGGAATGTGCCCTCTTGCATAAATGGATTTTACTGAAGACACGTAAGAGAAGGAAATCAAACACCACGTCATAGTAGCACAACAGGGCTTGTATTTTGAACATGGATTTTGCTGTACCTAGATATAATGTGTAAGCCCACATATGTGTGACCTGCCTCATTTTTCCCAAAACACATAATCTATAAATATTCAATTTCTTTGAGTAAAAGTAATAATGGAGGTCAACTTGTTCAGCACTGATGCATCACAGTTGTTTCCAATGACAATTCAAATATTTTTCTGCTAAAGGCAGTATTACATAAAAATCGATGGAAAATGATCCTCCCAATAAATTTTTCCCTGTATACAAATATAAAGCTGTGGCAATGAATAAAAGCAGAAAAATCTCCCTTCCAATCAGTCAATGTGGGAAAAACACAGAAGATTCCCTTGGTTATTGTGCAGACATGAGAGGAATAAGGGCTTCTTCCATCAGCTGTGGTACAAATCCTGGGTAAATTAAAGTGTTGCCAGGGAGTCAGCTGTGCTCCGGAGAAGGACAGTCTGAGAGTATCATCCCAGTCTTGGAAGGTCTGGTCCTTGTTCTGACCCCAGGGGAAGTAGTTGGGCCTGCAGGAAACCATTCCCATGAGAAAACCCAGATGCGTAGACTTATGATGTAAACTGACGGGCCCCTAAGGACCTAGCCAAAAACTCTTAAGTTTTGTACACATAAGAAGAAACTTGAAGTCAACCGCTTCTGTTACGTTTGTTAATGAATGGGAACATACACCGTTAAGCATCCTTGAAGGATGAATCTATTTCTAGAGTGCTTTCTTCTATGTAGCATTAGACCTCTGTACTTCCCAAATGCTCTCTATGCCATTCCTGACATGAAGTTTTTCTCATAGGAAACATTAAGGGGTGAGGGTTATTAATTTTCTTTAGTGCCACAGGTCCCCTGGTATCATATTTATATTGGATCTTCTTTTGTGCCTGCGTACTACTGTGTTTATTCAGCTGTCCTAGAGCTTCTTTCTGAGACCACTTTAGGGCTGATTTTAAACGTGCTTCTCCGTCTATGCCACCTTTTGTATAAGCTTGTATGTTCCCACTGTTCAAAAGTACCTCCTGCCAGATGGTCCCACAGTTTAATGCATTCCCAATTCTCGTGAAACAGAAAAGGCCTGGGCCAGTTTCTCAAAAGAGGAGCCTTAGGAATTTTTGTCAAAGTTAAAGGATTTTTTCAGAATAGCAGTTTGCACCTTTCTAAACTCAGGTTGTGAGGTAATTTCTTAATATTTTTTTTCTTAACTTTTACATTATTTTGATTTTGAGCTAAAATACATGCAAAATGGATTAATTTTTATTTTAAAACATCTTAATTGCACAGCTTGCTTAAACTTATACTGGCTTATTAAATATAAGTCATTTCTAATGTATTTACATTGTATCAGGCATAGGCAGGGCAAATAAGCCAGTTAACTTTTCCTTTGATTTACAGTATGCATATTGCAGGTGACAGGAAAATGGTTTAATATATAGGCTGGAAATATAAGAATCTTAATAATATGATTTTCACTGTGCTGCTTTTCAATATCCTGGTTACAGGTGTACTCTTATTTTGGCTTTGATTTTTGTAATCAAAATGTTCTAGTAATGGGAAGAAATAAATGTGTTTAGAACAGGATGCCATCAATAGGTAATCTGCCTGGTGTGACTTGAATTTGCTTCCAATGACACTGTCACCTATGGATCTCCCTTGAGATGTCTGTGACTTTATTGATGAATATGTGGCTTTATATCAGGAAACCATTTCCTGGGTTTATGTCCACCTCCTGTTGCTTTAGAAAATTTGCTTAGAGACAAGAGAAGCAAAGCATGCAGGCAAGGTGAATTGCCTTGTAATTTTATCATATCTTGGATATTTGCTATTTGTTTTTACCTTCACAGACAAGGAATACATAAACCCAACTTCCTTTATTAGTAAAAACAAACTAATGTGCCACCAGAAGAAAGTTTATAAATGTAAACTTTACTGGCTCATAGTGGAAACCAAATGAAAAGTCAACATTATTTTTCTTTTTTGTTTGTTTTCTTTTGGAAATATTTGAGCATTGGCTCTGCAATATTAGAATTCTAGCCAAACTTCTTTGATCTGAAAGAATTTACAGGGCACATGCATTTAATTAGTATGTCACTCCAGTGAATGAAGGGAGGTGACTGCTCCTCAGCTTTACAGGTAATGCTGCCAGTAACTCTGAATGTGGAGGGAAAAAAACCCCAACCTTTTCCCTGCAAAGGTATTTTCACCTCCTAGCAGATCTTACATTTACTTTACATAGAACAGAAGGTATTTCTAATCTCTTTGTAAATAATGCTTTTTGACTGACACCTGAAAGGCTGTTGTCCATGTGTTTGAGTACTATATTTTAAAAGAGAGTAGGCGGTGCTTGGATTACTCTTGAAGTTGTCATACCCATTTCATCATAGAAATAAAGTGACCTTTTCAAGATTGACACATATTGTCCTTGCTAAAGTATGGAAAAGTGTTGGATTTCAGCAGGTTTCCTCTGAAAATACTCTGACATGCTGTGTGTTTTAACAATACAGTTTACTCAGAAGTAGCTGATTTTTGGAATTTCTCGAAAGCAGTTTCAGTGTTCATTTCAGTATGAGGTTTCCCAAATAATGAGAACAAACCAGTTAATGTAACAAGAAAACTACCCTGTTACGCTGCTTTGGGAACTGCTTTTTGGGGAGGTGTGTGTCCAGGGTCCATTAGGCTCACTCTGCCAGCTCTGACTGAGGAGTTGGTTCCCTTCAGCAGTCAGCTGGCGGCAGCAGCAGACTTCAAGGAGTGGTTATATGTGCAAAAACACAATAGCCAGAGACCTTAAAATCTTTGGGAGAAGGTAGCTGTTTTGCAGTTTCTGCTGCTACCTTCCCTTCTGTTTACCGTTCTCTTTCTTTCTTTCTTTCTTTCCTCCTGCAGAATTCACCCTGGCCTTACCAGAAGAGAGGCATTTCAGCTCTGCCTATACTATTAAGGCTACAAACTCTGCAGACTGGAAATTTTGCTGTTTCATTGTCATCAGCAAATAATTGTGGTATCATTTTGCTTTAGCAAACTGGAAAATGGAAATGAAGAGAAATACAACAAAGTTGCTGTGGCTGTTGATGTTCTTCTCTGATATGGTGCCATTCAGCTATGAGAAATCAGTGAGAGAGAGAGCTATCGAGCTGATGCAAGATGCACGTTTAATCGATGGGTATATAAAATATGTTCAACGAAACCCTCTTTGTGAATCTTGACAAGTGAGGAGGAAATGCTGAAGTGTGTTTGGATCAGTAGATACATAGGCTGTTACTAGCATATAGCAGTTAGTTACTGTTGCAGTGATTTATCCCGAATGAATTTTGGTTCAGAGGGTGCTTACTATAGCATCAGGTTATTCTAAATGCATTTGTGATTTTCTTGTCACGTTTCACCACTTAATTATTGTTTCCCCGTACATAATGTCCTGGTCTCCTTCCATAATTTAATGGCATCTTTCATTAGCCATGACTTCTGTGCAGAGCTAGAAAGCAGGCATCATACCTTGAAAGGGTACTCTTACAACTTGAAGGAATGACGCCTGTGGTGAGTGTATTTTGACCTGGGAACGCAAACACTGATTATTCTAGCACAGGCAGCACTGATTAATCTACCACAAGTACTTGCTTCTAATGAGTGTGGTGGCTGATTTCAGTTCTTCCATTCCTTCAGAAATGATAGGGAGAAAAATAGATACAGGAACGCAACAGCTATAAAAATGGGAGAAGCAAAAAAAGTTTATTGCTGTCCTAATTAAGAAATAAAGCTTGTTTGCAAAAGAAGGGAGACTTCTAAGCCTATGTTACTGCAAGGATTATTGGCAATTAATGGTCTAAGGGACTATGAACAGTGGAAGAAATTACATTTGGGTTAGAAGGGGAATGACTTATTTCTATCACAAGTCCTATTTGTTTTCAATTCTAGCCACAATGACCTGGTACTGCAGCTGAGAATATTTTACCAAAATAGACTCAGTAAAGTCAACTTAAGAGAACTCAACAAGACCCACACAAACATTGTGAAACTTCAAGCTGGTTATGTGGGAGCTCAGGTATGTACTGCCATGGTTGTGAGTCTGAGAACGTATTTTTACATTTGCCTCCCTCCCAGTCACAAAAGTACTCCTGGCCTCGTTTCTGGCTCTTTCTGTTGAAAAAAGAAAAAAACAATAAAACGGAAAAGCCACAGACACTTTTCAATAACATTTGTGTTTCAAAAGTTTGTGTTTTATAATCCAAGCACCCTTAACCAAAACAGTGGCATTTATTTTGTGATAAATAAAGTAAATTTACATCTGCTTTCCTGGGTGTACTGTGGAGTAGCTGAGTGTGTCAGGAGGCTTTAATCATATCTGGAATGGATGCTCTTGCTTGGCATCGTAACTCTTCCTTTGGGGGGAAAAACTATAGTGGCAGGTCCCTTGTAAACTGTAGGAAATTATTTTGGCCTGGGCTCGTGAACTTCACTATTGGCAAATGAAAGTTTCCAAGTTGAGACACAGCAGTTTACTTGTCAATGTCTCTTTCAGTTTTGGTCAGTGTATGTTCTTTGCAGCGCTCAGAACAAGGATGCTGTGCGTCTGACCTTAGAGCAAATTGATGTTGTCAAGAGGATGTGTAACAGCTATGAAGAGCTTGAACTTGTGACAACTTCCCAAGGTGATGCTCTTTCTTGTAACAGAATTTTTTTTAAAGGGGATTGCAGGAGGTATGTGCAAAAGACGGAGAGCTGCAAGCAGGCAAGTTATCCTGGTTTAAAGGGTAACTTTAACTTCAGTTTTTCCACTGAGCCACAATAACTGACTCTGTGCACAGTCCTGGCACACCGCAGTTGTAAGAAAATTTGCCTTATAAACGTGCAGTAGTATAGCTCCTCTTCTATGAAAATGTCCATATTATTGCTTGCAATTTACAATAACAATTGTTGCTCAGTAGTGCTGGCTTCTTATCTGTCATTAAGTTACTTTGGAATTATCTTCCTTTGCTGTTTCCAGGTATCTCTGACAGCAGGAGGATTGCGTGTTTGATCGGAATAGAAGGCGGTCACTCCATTGACAGCAGTTTGGCAACACTGAGGATGTATTATGACCTGGGTGTTCGTTACATGACTTTAACGCATTCCTGCAATACACCTTGGTAACGAATGTGCATGCTTTTGTGTGACTGTCTAGTGTAAAGTGGTGGCAGCTCCAAGATGGGGAAAATACGGATTCAGACACAGAGTTCACCTGTGAAGGGCTCTGAATGAAGTCAATGATGATAGGTTTTTGGGGTAAATCACTTGCCATCTGTCAAGTGGGAGATGGAAGTATCTGTTATGTAGTGCTTATTATGCTGACAATTTGGGAACTTTTAAACCTTGTTAACAACACAAAGATGGTAAAATTGTTATCCCCTTCGATTTATTACAAAATTGGGCAAAACAGGCCAAAAAAAAAAAAAGAGTACTTAAAATACATACGATGTAGGTAAAAGAGGGTAAATGCTATGTAAGAAGTCAGCAGCCTTCAACACTGTCCTCTCTGGCCAGCTCAAAAGTGCAGGTCTCATATGCAGCTACAGAGATGGGTATTTAGTTACTGTATCAGAATATTAGCACCTACTCTTTGCTGGATTGACAAAATTCCTTCTTGTACTGACTCAGGGAAAGGGGAATTGTGTGCAGAGAGGGCTGAAAAGCAGGCTTTCTGGCTGACAGATAACTGACATTTCAGTGTGTCCTTGTTCTCTGAGGAAGGTTTGTTTAATCAGAAAATTTCTGACAAGCATCTCTTTGCTTGTCGTGCATTGCTTCTCAAACATACAGCAGTCCTGAACCTGAAGGCATAATGTCCAGAAAATAGTTATGAACATAAAAAGCACTATGTGAACAAGATACATATTAAGTAGCTCATTATCCCTACATTTGGCTATGTGACATGGTAATGATTTTTATTGTGTGTAGCATAAGAAGTTTCAGTTACTGATATTGTAGTCTCCAGAATAATATGATGTTTCTCCTCCCTCACTCCCCTTTTTAAGGTCTGAATCATCATCTAAAGGAATACACCAATTTTATCCTAGTGTTATGGGTCTGACTGCATTCGGCCAAGTAAGGAGCTCTTTTGGATGTTAATCTAAGCAATCTCTCATGCAACTAACAACTTCTGGCTTTATCTTTTCAAAAGCAACTTGTCATTAAAAATTAATTACTGGAAGTTCTTGTTAGTTAGGAGGTGATCAGGGTTCAGTCAAACAAAATTCCCTGTGATGTTCCTTAGGGTAAAAGAAGCACTAGATTTAATTATAACAATTGTCTTAATACAGATCAGATGTATGAGTTAATATGCAAAAGTAGTGGGATGTGAATAACAGTTCAAATGACTTATTTTAGATTGACTAAGTTTTCTATGTTTTGAGCATGTGGTGGTGTGCTAGTTAATTGTGAGTGAATATATTACTATTAAATTCATAGGTAAAAAGAAATCCATACAGGCACAGCATGTTTATGACTAGCTGACCACTGCAGAATTTCTTTATCTGTTTACATGTATCAGCTAAATGGTTTCCTTTAAGGAAACTTAATACTGACACTCTTGTCTGTAAATCTGTTTTAGGAAGTGGTAAAGGAGATGAATCGCCTGGGTATGGTGATAGATTTATCTCATACTTCATATTCCACAGCAAAAGCTGCACTGAATATCTCAAAAGCACCAGTAATTTTCAGCCATTCCTCAGCATTTTCTGTATGTAATCACTCAAGAAATGTTCCTGATGATATCCTCCAGCAACTGGTGAGCGATACGGGTTTTGGTTTTGGGTTTTTTATTGTTTTGGGGTGTGTGTGTTTGTTTTTGTTGTTTTGTTGGTTTTATTGTTTGTTTGTTTGTTTTTTTTTTATTTTAATGCCAATGTTTGGCTAGTTTGATGCAAACTTGTGCATTCAAATTGTGGTATTTACTTTTCACCTTGTCATCTCTGCATTGGATTTATAAGCAGATCCCTGAGCAACAAATTACACATTCACTTCTGAGACATTTTCTTTGGGTTGTGTTTTGTCTTTGGCTACAAAAATGAAGTGTTTGCAAGTACTTTGAAATTCTGATTGAGTTTGATGTAGTCACTGGACTTCTGCTGATTCAGGCTACATGAGAATACAATGAAACCAGGGTAAGGGACAGAGAGGCAAAGCCTTGTGTAGCCATTTGAGCTTTGACTTACAGAGTGTTGTTATGCTCACTGATGGATGGATGTAGAAGGATCTATATGAGATGCCTGTGAGGTTTGCAGGACACACGAGTGTCCACTCGTCACCTGTCTCTTCATATCTTTCAGAAAAAGAACAAGGGAATTATCATGGTGACTTTCAATGCAGATGTACTGGCCTGTGGCAGAAAAGTTGTTAATGTTTCTACCCTTGCAGGTTTGAAGTTAATATACTGTAGTTTTTGTGGGTGGCTTCTATGAATTTCCTGGTGTTTGCATCATTTCTGAGATCATGTAAATTAGACTGCTTGTTTGTTCCCTTCCACACCTTACCCCAGCTCTAGGTATTTTTGGAGCTAATATTCATTAAACAATAACAAGAGGTACAAGGTGTGTAGCTGGAGGACATGATGCTCCTAAATGGAGCCAAGAACCATTAATCCCAAAGTAGCTGTTACTTTCTGGAAAACATTTTAAGCCTTTGTAATTAAGAGTGGAAAACATAAGTATGTAGTGGGTAATGAAAAATCTGTTAGTATATGTGGGCTACTTGTTGGGAATTAATGTGCTGTGATGATCATGTCTTTTTCCTCATTTGCATCTCATCAGTGTAGCTGTTATTTTGAAGATTGCTGCCTGATGTGCCTGATACTAGTTAAGCTTCAGTAAATATCCAGAATATGTCAACTGCATTATTAAATTTTAACGTGTATTATCAGGATGTCTTTTGACTTTTTTTAAAAGGATTTGATTAAGAATCCATGATTAAGGAGAACAGTTGCCTAGTGCCAATATGTCTGAACTGTATTATTTCTTCTTGCTGGTTGCTTAGATACTGTTTTCTTTGATATTTGATTTCAGATCACTTTGACCACATAAAGAAAATTGCAGGTTCAGAATCAATAGGAATTGGTGGTGACTACGACGGAGTGAAACGGTTAGTAAAATTGTACATACATTGACATCTGCTCCTTAAATTATGAAGGTTTTGACACTTTGGGGGAAAAAAAAGGCAGACTAAAAGAGTTGTAGCAAGTTGCCTTGTGATGAGTACTAAAACAAGTTTCATGAAAGAAGGGCACAATGATTCCTTTTTAGAACTGTGTGAAGCAGTGCTACAAATGTGGAAATGGATCCTAATGCCCTGTTAACTCTGCAATTGTGTGTTCTAGGCAGTGGTTTGCACACATAAAAATAGTGATAGAGGGTGCTTTCCTCCAGAAGCCAAAGATGAATGACAGAAAAGCTGCCTCAGCCTTTAGATGATAAATGGCTTAGCCCAAGGAGATGCTGCAAAACTTTTTCCTCCGCTATTACTTTCTAGTGGGGAAAGCCCAAATTGTTTGGGGGCTGTGAAACCACTCTTGCTTTCGGGGCTTGGGAAGTGTTTGAGGCAAGCAGGGCATGGTGAACAGCCTACGGCATAACCTCTCCTCCTCACTCCTGGGCTAGTGTTGTTACAGTACAGGAAATAAATGCAGATTGGGTGGCATTTGCTGGTGTAACCCTAAAGCTTTTTTTGCTTTTTATCTTTCTGTTGAATCTTAATCTCCTTTTTTTTTTTCTTTTTTTTTTTTTCCCTAGGGTCTGACACACTTGTGTATGAAAGTCACAGTCAGACTCACATCTGTAAAGTAGGACCACAAAAAAAGTGTGTCAGCTCCCATGAGAGTTAGGTACTCATAGCTCTGAAACTATAATCTCCAAAATAAAAATAAATTTTGCAACACAAGGACACATTTTATTGCATGCATTTTCACAAAGACCATCAGTTTAATTGGTGGTGAAGTTGTTAAGGTCCTAAGTCCCAGTAGAAAGTAATGGAACAGACTTCTTGAGAAATGCTTATCACCACACCTGCACAGAAAATAAAAATAACAGAACATATTAGTTATCTCAAAATAAAGTCAAAGACTCATGGAAATACAATTAATACCTGTTCAATGCAGGTTTTGCAGCTTCTTACTTCTAATTTCTTTTTATTCTGATAAGAATTAGCACAAGACATAGGTCAATTTAGTTTATTGTAATTTCTTCAGTAGAGGTTCTGAATAGCTTTCTTTTCACTGCCTAAACTGCTGAATTCAAAACAATATTATTATTCTAATTGTATTTTCAAAATTGCCTGGAACTCCTTAGCTCACCATGAGTTTGCAGGTTCCCTTTTGTTCTCAGTTACACAAGTGGATTGCACCAACTCCATCTGTGATGCAGCTGTTTCCTCTTACTCTAAAGGCCAGATATAAAGAGTGGATTAATGCATATGAGTTTGGGGTTTTTTTCTTTTGTTTTGTTTTAATATCCTTCGTGCTGCTGTTCTGCCTATACAGAAGTGCATCTTCATTCCAGAATAGACAGTTTTGTTCTGCTGATGGGATGCTCTGTGCAGAAGAAGCCTTTCATTGTCACCCTGCTTCTGCTTGTCAGTCAAATTCTTAATTTTTTTTTTTAACTTCTCAGAGAAAGAATAGGATCCAAGGTGAGCTTACTCCAAAAGTGAATATGTGCAAAAGACTAATTAAAAATATTTTTCTACATATTTTCAGTGATGTGTGTTGAATGTTCTTGTGTGACTCTTGCCAACAGTTTCCCTGAGGGACTGGAAGATGTTTCTAAATACCCTTCTTTGATTGAGGAACTTCTTAGAAGAGGATGGAATGAAACTGAACTGAAAGGGGTCTTACGGGAGAACTTTCTCCGTGTCTTCAGGGAAGTGGAAAATGTAAGATTAAAAACTAAACTGAATCTTGATCCTTACTAAGAGGGAGAGAGGAACTGTTGGTGTCTTGCTGCCTTTTTTTTTTTTTTTCTTTTTTTCTCAGTGAGAGAGTTATGAGGGAATGTAGCACTTAATGCAATAATTCCAAATGGTGGGAAAGACATCAAGATGGCAAAAGAGTGTTAGCAGAATAAAGGGAAGTGTGAGAGAGCGGACAAAACTCTTTGGAACTTTTTCTCTTGGTGGTAATCTGATAAGTACACATCACTGACTTCTAAACAGAATCACTTCATGGTTTGGAGAAACTACGGACGTACCAGCGTCACAGTCTGGCTGTGTTTGCTGGTGCAGTAAGGAATGCTGACTCCTGCAAATCAATTTAATTCTTGTCATGGGATTGGGCTGCTATCCAAAAGGCTCCTGCCACGACCAGATCACTAATGAGCCATAAACATAAGAACTAGATCACAGCGAGCTTCAAGTATAAATGGGAGAAGCTAATCCAGAAGGATGAGGGAGGAGAGGAGGGAAGGAAAGAGACTGTATGAGAGTAAGGACCCCCTAAATGGTAACTTTTTCAAAAGCCTCTGTTGAAACTTGCAAACTGCTAGCTTCCTGCTGTTTTTATATATAGGGATAAGTAAGTAGATATTATACACAAAGCCAGCATATATAGACATATATAGACAACATATATTTCACAGTGATCTTTTTTCCAGTTGCCTTTTTGCGGTATGTTAGATGAAGAGAAATCAGGGAATTTTGTACTGTTCCAGTTAATCTGCCAAAATATCTAGCTAATGCAGAGTTGTACGTGGGGCAGACTGGCATTATGAAGAGGTTGAAATTCATCACACCTAACCAATCTGTGAGATTTAGTAATTTTTTTCTTTCTAAGTTAGAGATGTTTGAAGCTCTGTCTTGAGACTGTGAGCTGACTTCAGGGAAGAAAGCTCATGAGTTTTTTTGCTTAAGGTTTTGCAGCTAATGCATCCATATGTGGAGGGAGCCAAGACAAAGAACAGCCAGAGATGTGACTCTTGCCTGTAATATATCTGTACTGAATTCTGGGAAGTGTTTCATAGGAATGCAGACATCAGGATAATGATGTTGATTTCCTCACATTCAGATGTGTTTTTGCAATAAAGTTTGAGTTGGTTCACTTGAAATACCATTGAATTTGCTAGCTGCATAAAGCTTTTTGCTGTTGTGCCAGTCTGGCTTTCAGGGGCAACCTTTTGAATTTTTCTAGGTGCGGAACTTTAATAGACTAATGGATGTAGGTGAAAGTGAAATTCTGCAAGAAGTACAAAATTCCTGTCGCCTAGACCTACATAATCATCAGCTTCAGACAACCAGGTCCTTTGGATTTCCATCTGTGGCACAACCTTTTAGTCTGACACTTGTAACTGTATCATATTTAATACTGTATTATGAATCATAAGATCTATGGAGTCTAGAGAGAGATATATGGAACAATCTGCAATGCAAGTAGTTATCTTTTGGTGGTTTTGTTAATGTAAAGCTATGCTAAATTTTTTATATAATTTTCTATAAATTCACCTGCATACTTGAAAGTTAACATAGATTTTAAATGTTGTAGCAAAAGCATTTAGAATTTGAAGGGATAAATTCTGTGTCAACTTGGCTAAACCAGGACCAACATTGTTAATGGAAAGTATCCACATCTAATGAATATATTCTCTAATACATGACACACAGTTTTGGTACCCATATTGTGGCACTTGGTATAAATACTGGAGTCCAGAATCAGCAGTTCCACACCAGAACTAGAGAATATGATTAAGACAGCTATGCTGAGATGTTTTCAGATGTTACGCCTTGTAAAATCATACAGCTTTCATCATCAGTTGATGGCTTAATTGGAGAAGACCACGAGTGGTGGTGTTTTTTGTTTAGTTTAAAGACGACAAGATGGGTGACATGGCTATTTCAGTTCAGATTTCATGACTACCACTAGCTTTAGGGATCCATCCTGCAGTACTAAACTCTTATTTTTGAACCCTGACGAGGGCAGTGGGCAACTGGAGAGTTACTGAAGGGTGGAGGTAGGTATCTTGCATTCAGGTACAGGTGACAAGGCAATGTTGTAGATACTTTTCTATACATTGCTTGTTTCTATAACTTGCTGTTTGCTACATGTTCATGAAGCTGGGAGCAAGAATAAACCAGGACAAAGCAGGAATTCTGGCTACTCAGAGGGTGAGATCTTGGTCTGATATTTTTATTGCAGTCTGAAAAGTATAAAATGAGTATTTAAATAAAAAATTTGTTAGAATGTTCCCCAGCTTTGTGGAAATCTTTTTCACAATTAAACAATGATCCTTATCAATAACAAGTTTTATTATTTTATTTTTATTCTAGCTGGCTAAAATCAGACCATTGGCACAGGATTCACAGGCATCAGATTAGAAAGAAACCTTTTTATTATAAATCTGTTGCTTCAGCCTTTGGAACACATTTTTAAATACACAAGGTATGTGAGGTTAGAAGCTGCTGTTATACAGAAGAGCGTATAGTGCCATAGGCCTATTCTTGGTAGGATAATATGGCTCAAACCTGGAATTTTAATCAAATAGTCTGAGATTCATGATGAAACTGTAAGATGGCAGCACTACATCTTTGTAGGGTCCTTTCACAGTGCTTGCTGGTAAATGCCTTCTCATGATGCTTGCTGTTAATTGTGATTTTTATCCCATGATATGTGCTTTTATTTACTGATGCAACATCTACAGCATTTAGCCTTAGTATAAAATAAAAGTCCTGTAATTGATCTAAGGACAGCATTTGTAAACACACAAAGTATTTAACAACTGAAAGCAAGGCTTTCTAAAGTCACTTGACACTGTTCCCGCCATCCATTTCTGCATTCCATGTACAAGCAGGGTTTCTGGAAGAAGACTGTTCTTTTATTGCTTCAAAATGAAGCTTCATTCATGCTTCTGATAAGGTGGTCTCCTTGATAAGTATATTCTGAATATACTACTGCCACTTAATGAATTCTTTACAAATCATGTTGAATAATCTAGTTGCATACAAGCCAAGTTTTTAAGAACAGTTTCTCAATAAATACTAGTCCTGGTTATGTGTCCACAATGGGGAACTACTGCACTGACTCAGAAGTTCCCAATACTGCTTGACCGGCATCAGAACTTGTTTTACTGGTAAAATGACGAATTCAGTAGGGCAAATGTTTTACTTCCCATCAGTACTTCTGTTAATAGCTCCATAAGCCATTGGAAAACTCCCATCTATGGTCTCTTTTCACAGAATTAGTACTGTGATTACATATTTGAAATGTAAGATGCTTCCTTATTCCTTCCAGCCTTTTTCTTTCTACTGCATTGTCACTTGCCTGCCCACTAATTTCTACTTTTTTTTCCATACTGAAGCATGGATTAAAAATATATTCTTTTTCTTAAAGATATGGATAATACTTTTATGTAACTGATTCCACCATGCTATAGATATTTGTAGTTTATTTCCTTGTTTTATCTACACTGTATTGCACTTATTTGTTTGACTGCTTTGTGCAATGAATAATTTGTAACCTTGTGGCAAAACATATACACGAAATTTAAATAAAATATTGTTTAAAAGTGTGTATAGGTACTGGTGTAATCTCACGAAACAATGTATATGTTCAGAATTCCAGGAAACTCTGAAAGAACCATGCAACTCTGCTGAAGAAGGAAGGCCAGGGTATCATGAGGGCTCTGGGTCTGCTCTTCACAGGGAAGGTAGCCTCCCCCATTGCAGGCAGTAGAAAGTCAGGTAGGTTTAACCCTAGAGCATCCTGGATGTAGGCAGTCAGCCTCATCTTCACTCAGATACCACCTAACATGTAGAGAAGTCTGAGCAAGTGCCTATGGAAAGGGAACATGGATGACTCGGTCATTGCTGTGAGTCCATGACGACAGTGTTACCTGCAGCAAATCACTTGGTCAAGCTAGTCAAGTCACAGAGAAAAAGGCTTATGGTGAACCAGACAGGTTGCCTGCGCCAAGATTAGGATAACCTCCACTTCACAGCATTTCTCACAGATGTGTGATGATCTAGAAGTCCCTTTTTCCATTACAAGTTTCAATGTTAATTCAGAATGCTTCAAATAAGCTGCTTGGGTGAAACCAATATCAGAGTGCAAAATCATCAAACAAGAAATGGAATCTTGTGCATCATGCAATGATTATGGACATGGTATCTAGCTTATCTAATAGATGCAGTTAGTTTATTCTTCTTAAACGATCAAAACCACACAGCTTGAAACATGGTAGAAAGGCATCTCATTAGAATTCCATTTCAAAAGTAAAATCATGTAAGATATGGCTGTGACTGCTGTCAGAAAAACTATAGTGACCCTTCAGTCTGAGTGCTAGTGTCTCCAGTCCTACTGACAGCAGCTTGTAGCTGTAGTCACAACATTGCATTTCTAACAGCTCAAGCATAAAATGATTGCACTCTCATTTCTGCCTCCCAATGGAGAGGATGAGTCATCCTGAAATTGAATGCCTTTGCCCTGCACCAATTAATAAGAGCAATTTGCACTGGTAATTTGAAATGCCTGCTAGCTCAACTGACAGATTCTATTATGGCTAGTGGTATCAGTGAAGTATCAGATGTAACTGAGATACGAACTTTGTAATAAGTTCTGTTGGCTGCCAAATGGTGGAATGCAAGTCATTATTTACCTCTTCTAAATGAGTTATGCTAACATGAATTCTGAAAATAGTTATTACTATTTCTGTAAATCTCAAAATCTATGAAGTACTTTCGGCTGATTTTCTAAATAAGAACCAAACTTCAAGGCATCTTTAACAGTCCAAGGCTCATACTTTTGCATGTGTGATATGAACAACCAAAAACTGCAGATGTAATATTGATGCAGACAATTGATTTGATTCTAAAATGTTGATGCCAGCGCCCTTCCCCCAGTACTATCCTTTTCCAGACTAATGGGCTGTAGCATCCACAGAAATAAACAACTTCAATTCTCACTTGTCTCCTTTGGGTAAGTGGTGATACTAGACACCAGGCCTAAAAAGTCTATTGCTGGTCTAACCTATGCAGCTGATCTGTTATGTAAAATTTGAGTAGTTTAGTTCACGTATCTAACTTCTACTCAGTGGGTGACTTGTTTGGACCATGGAAGGACTTTTGCATGTTTTACATTAGATATGGACTACCGAACTGTGCTAGTGCTTAACATCTGCATTCCTTCTTGCATATCAAGCTGCTCAAGCAATATGCCAGCACATTTCTTTGTTTCAAGGTCAGTAAACATCATGCATTAAGTCTAACCACCTATATAAGTTTATTAACTTCTGTTTGATCTTAAATGTAAGGTTCACTGGGAATCTGTACCGCAGAATCAACTTTGAAAAGCTGTGTATCATTGCATCTCCATCACCTTCTGGAGTAAGGTGCAGTGCCATAGCAGTTTATGCCAGTGTCAGCTTCGGCTGCTGCAGTCCTACCCTGTTTCTTCACTGCATGTTGTCTCCCTGTCCCTTGTGACAGCACTGCTGTTTGTGTAACTATATGATAAGCTGGTTCAGGGAGCTGATCTAACTGAAAAGGAACTGTTTTCCTCCCTCAGGTGGTGGGTTTCCTGCTGATCACGTCAGTAATTGGGTTAACTACGTTCAGTGTTAGGTGCTAGTGGAGGAGAGGAGCAGAAAAGCAGACTACAGCGACTTGGATTTCTTCCATTTGCTACTGAAAGCAGCAGCTCCTCTGTTTACTCTTCTCTGGATTTATACATATGGAAATGATCAAATTGCTTAAAATTCTGAAAATGTAACATCTAAATTAAATAACCAGAAGATTCTTCCCACTAACAGTGGCTTTCATTTTCTCTTAAGATTTGTTGGATTCAATTCGCAGACCCAGAGCAGTATGTTAGGGGACCTGCTGAACTGTTTTCAGGACAGACTGTGATGCTGGATAACCCTTCTTGGAGTATTTTGGAAGGCTTGATTCAGTGTTTCAAGAACAATTTTTATTTTTTTTAATCTGGTCTTGATTTTTGTCTTGATATCTTACCTACAAACTTTACATCTACATAGAACAACTTGAAATGGTGGTGGGTGTTTGGTACTCTTATAATTTTCAGTTTTTATCTTTTGAAACCAGACAAATGGAAAAGCTTTTATTAACCTTCATATTTATTTATAAGTTCATTATGTAATTTCTGTCAGAGGAAAAACAAAATTTGTGGCATTTGTAGCATTTTTGTCCCGTTTCTGTATTCCAGATGTCTAGGATCTTCAGTGATTGAGCTAGAACCCCTCAGTCACTTGGTCCAGTATTACCAGATGACCTGTTCGTAGCCTGTTTCACTTTCTGCAACTCAAATTGCGAAGGTGGCAATTCTTTCCCCAATGCCTGTACTGTTTGAGAAATCATTTCAACCTGTGAAGTTTTATTTTTCTTGCAAAGCAAAAGCAACAAACAACCCCTCTTCCCTAAAGCTGTGACCTCAGAGAGATATTAAACTTGGTTCAGTTTCTTCTGTCATGAGTCAACAAATAGTGGGGGGGGGGAAATAAGGCAAAAAAAAGCTAAGTAAACAAAGTTCAGCATTTAGCTTACATCACAGAAATGCTGCTGCTTCTAATCAAGGCTTTAGCCTTAATGATCAGAACTCAAATGAGAAGACACTTAATTTTGCTCTGTTTGTGCTGCTTCTCCCCAAATTGTTTTGTAAAATTCACTAGGATCATGCTTTCCCCTACATTAAATATTTTTCTCTGAAGCTCTTTCTCTACACATGGTCTCACTGTTTTCATAAAGCTTTTCTTTTGCCAGTTCTGCAATGAGAGAAAAGCACAGAGCCAGGAAGCAAGAATTCAAATTCCCCTGTGGGCTGCTGCTGAGAAACAAAACAAAAATTAAAATAGCTAAGAATAAAACTGAAGCTAATACACAGGGTTTTGTCAGACAAATCAAAAGAAGGTCTCTTTAGTCTGGAATACAAACATTTGGAAAAAAGTTTCATACAACTTTGAAAAGTCCATTTGGATTAACTTTTCTGAGTGTCCTCCTATAGTTAAACTCATCATCTAAAGAAACTTGTCTAGACCTGTCCTCAGTTTTTTCTCTGAGCCCTTTATTAAAAATTCAGATTTATCCATGCTAAAAATGTAACTGAACTGAAAACTGATATCTTTAAAAAAGGACAAAAGAAAAAACCACGAACACCCACTGAGCAGTATTTTTCCAGCATCTTAATCCTATCCTGAAAACTACTGCAATGTTTAACAAGTTTAATGGAAAAAACTTTGATCCAGTTCTTCTTATTTGAATTTACAAAATCTGATCGAGTGGGTAAAAAAAAAATAATCTCAAAGACTTAGTAACTTTTCAGTCTCTAAAGATGAGATTAAGGTATCTTCGTAGAAATCGCTTTTCCACCTATCAAATACAGTTATGAGTAATTTTACAGGTGAGGCAGAAGTTCCCTGAAGTAAATAAATTTTGAAGATAAGTGGCACCACAGTGTCCTCTTGTGGTCTTTTAATGTCTAAGCTGTGATACATTTTCTAAGAGAACAGCAAAATTTTCAGTTGCAGTATGTCACCTGTATTAAGTATAATTAAGTATAATGTCACCTCTCCCTGCCTTATTTTTCTCCTGGAAATGGCATATAGAGGACTGCACATTGCATTTCCCATAAGCTCTTACTGCTATGTCCCCAGTTCTTTACATGTGGATGTATGTGTTGCGGTCCTCTCCAAAGGACCTCTTTCAGCAACTGCTTATCTTTGTCACGGATGAAATAGATCCTGATCTTTGTTAGTGAAAAACCTTTGCAGCCAGGTTGCCAGTTTCCGGCCTGCTTTGTCCACAAGGCTGGTGTGATCCTCGGATGTGGAGAAGCAGGAATGTGCTGAAAACATAAGTTCACTATAGTGAAATGCTGGCCATGAACTTGCAGAATTTCTGCCAAGCCTCATGTCCAGGGAAGCTGTACCTTGGCAGTGCCAATTTTTGTTTTGTTATTTTTTCTGATGGTCAGCTCTGGGCTACTTGTCACCCAGGTTCCACTCTAGTGGAAAAAAAATCTTTTAAAACAATAAATAATAGTTATGGATCCACTGCTGTGCATATCCCAGCCTTTCTCTTTACACAGTTTTAAATATCTGTATTTATGCTTTTTAAAAACATGTTGGCTTCAAAACTTGCAAGTATTTGATCTTTCAGGTATCAGAGTTTTCTGCCTAACTGTGTGGGAGATAACTGAGAAGGGTTTCAGTTTCCCAGGCATTTTTTACTATGCTGTCTATAAATCTGCAAACCTTTCCTCTAATGAAAACCCCTATTTCTGTTCTAACTGGAATGTATTTTTTTTTCTGGGCCATGACCCTGCTACTAACTTGATGATCCAGGATATCTCAGAAATACTTTTCATGTCATATGGTTTAGAAATTTCCCATGGCTTCAAAGCACAAATTCACAGATTGTCCCAGTGACAAAGAGGAGAGAAGCATTATACCAGTCTGTATTAACAGAGATGCAATATGACTATTATCCAGAATGCAGGTATTCCACTCAAGAAGTTTTATGTATTTTGGATAAACACAGTTATGGATGTTATCTCTCAGGCTTCTAGGGCAGTGCATCCTGTGCATATACATCTAAGCAGGCCACGTATTCTGCCTGGGGACATACATAAACATTACAGTCAGCAATGACAGCAATAACTGGGCAGGTTACAATGAGGCATTTCAAAGCTTCATTTACAGAAAGTTAACTTAAACTTTCTACAAAGCTTTTTGAGGTATAGGTTATTATAAAGCACTCCAAACGTTATGGGCAACACAGAAGAATATTCTATTTTACAGAAGAAGAATAAAAAAAAAATCTGAGTTGTAATTTTATGACATATTTATTTCTAAGGATGATACTTTTTGCTTGGCCTTGATTTTCCTAGTTAGAAAAAATAAACTACTTTATTTAAAATTAGGCCTCTCCCCATGAAATTCAGGAAGAAGGGAAGATAAGAAAAGCTGTCTTCAAACATGGTTTCAGGTGCTGGGTCTTCCTGTCCTGAAACAAATGGCAAATCACTTTCATTGGGAAGGAGTTGAAACAATGTTACTTTTTGTTGTTTGATTGAGGTTAACATCATACATTTCAAGTTCATAAGCTAACAATACTCCAGAGCTCATTTACAAGGGCCTTCCAATGTGTGTACTCCATCCCTTTGTGAGGGCTGAGGCAGGCTGTTCCCTCTACTCTATCCTTAAAAGCAATCACTAATGCTGATATTGATTATACATTCACTTTCTCCTAGGATGGCTGTATGAGCACCACATGAGAAGCCGTGAATTGCTGTCTGTCAGGGAAGGGATGAAACACCTTGCACACATAAGTCAAGCCTGTTTCTGGAAGAGCTGATGCGGTGTGCAGTCACTCTCATGCTGGGCTGTAAAAGCCAAGCTGCTTTTTTAAATGCTTGAGTGGTATCACCTGTATTAAGAAGCGTAAAAGGCAAACTTGATCTTGCTTGCTTGCCCTGAGGATTTATACCAGGCTCTTCAGCAGTTTACCAAACTACCTTTTAGAAGACTCAGAGTTTCTCATACAGCCTTTTTCTTCAAGTCAAATGGCATAGTTGTTTACTCTGGAAGCGTACTGACCTTTCAGCTGGAAGCTTATACCTACTTCAGGTAGTTCACAAATAACCAGTGGCTTACTAATTAAGAACTGAACTGTGTCTTTGCTTATCTGATTTGTAGGTAATAAACAAACAATTCAAAAAGCAGTTCCTGATCGTGTATCAGAGGGGACATCATGGATTTGCTGATCTTTAGGCCGCTGATTTCACTGATGCTGTTAATGTACACTAGAGTACTGAAAATCCACGCCTTTCCTTATCTCATAAGCCTTGATTCTCCTAAACTGCTCTCAATGTTTTTTGAAGTGAAACCACCAGACTTTTTCTTAGAAGTGCAGATTTTCTCTCTTGGGGATGGGGTGTGTAGAGAGGGGAAAAAAAAAAAAAAAGAAAATAATATTATTTTCTCTGCTCTTTCATTTTCACTGACCAGTCTGTACCCATATGAAACCATAATCCCCAATTCCATTTAGCTTTGTAGAAAATGGGTAGTTTTCATCCCCATTATTTAATGCGAGATAGCAATGTTGTCGCAGGTAAACACTGTAATATTGTAGATCATCTAGTTTCATTCCAGCCTCATATTCATATCAGACAACTTTTAAGCTTATGATGGCCACTCATACCATTCAGAAGTAACAATCAATATTCATACTTAGAAAAAAAAAACCAAAACAACACATCAGTCACCCAGGTTGAAATTTCAGTTCTCTTACAAACCAGATGCTAAACAACTAAGTTGATATGGGTAGATAACATCTTATCTTTAAATAAGGGCTTTCTACAAGTCAGTAAAGAACCATTGTCTTTAGACAAAAGAAATATTTTTCCTTCAATAAACTTGAATAGTTTCCCAGGGCTAAATTCTCTCCTAAGACATTTGGATATAGTTTCCATTCCAGAGAGGGGAGTTGCTGGTATATGTACATGAGCTTGATTTTATTAATTTTTTCCCTTCATGGGCTACAATTTCAATGCCATTGATTTCATGATACTGGCATGTTTCGTGGTGGCATAGATGCATTTTTTGATGCCTAAAGAAAGACAGCTCCTTGCCAAACCTGCTTTCAAAAGCAAGATGAGAAAGAAGTACCCAGTTTAATTCTTCTTCCTGAATAAGCTTGACTCCAAAAACATTAACTCTTGAGGGTTATTTCTTATAATCCCTGTCTCCTTTTCCTAGGACAGCTTACTTAGACGAGACACTTTCACTCAAAAGCTTTATGAAGTGGAAACCAGGAAAGATGACAGAAAACTAAGCATGAACTAACTTGCTTAATGGTGAGTTATCATATTGCCCTTTTTCTATATAAAATTCTTTGCCCACTATCAATTAATACTTAATTTTCCTGTTTTCTTGGTGGACTCTAGCTTATTAGGTGGTACTTATTATGAACACTAATGAAACATAATTCAACCAAAGAGGGTTAAACAGAAAATGCTACTTTTTGGCCAATTGTTCCACTTCCCTCTGGGGGAAAAAATACTGCTGGAGATAAGACAGTGGACTAAGTGGCGCACCACGATGTTTCCAGTCTGTCAGAACTAATGCGTCTAAAATTAACAGAAATGCCTTCTAGATTATCAGAATTGGCCTAACTTACCCACATAAATTGCCAGTAAAACTTTACAGACCTCAGTGGGACCATATTTACAAATGTGCTCATTTTAGGGTTACTGGGGGGGGGGGGGGACGGACACCAAAACAAACCACCCCACCCTAGGTCTTCAAGATAGCATGAGTTTTGCACAGAGGAAAACCTGTGGTTTTTTTTATCTATCTCCTCCAAAACTGACGAGGCTGTTATTGAGATACACATGGCCACATGAAGATCATTGTTGTTTTCCTTAGCAGAGCAGAGACAAAAGTAAAATGTAGGTTATATGAAAGCACAGGAGTCTTAGAAGTCTTTCCACCTGTCTGATCAATACTAAGAGGTGTAATTGCTCTGGCTTTCCCCAGAGGTGGTCTACTAGCAAGTTTGTGTTAAGTGAACTGAGAGACCTGTACCCCCTTGGCAGCAGTCACTCCACAGCATGGATCCTTCTTGTTTATTTCAAAACCCAACTAATTAAAAGTAGACTTATTACTCAGTTCTCATGAACAAAGCACTCTCCCTCTTGTTTGTCTCTCTTCTGCTCATTACACATTTTTCTTTCTCTCAGTCACCTGGGGGTTGCTTTGTCAAAAAGGCAGGACAAATTCAGAAAGCTAGGGATAAGGGTCTTCCGAGCACAGGAAACAGCTAGTCTTATCCTCTTCCTCTGCTCTAAGCCTTACATTCTCCCTGTCCTGGTTTCAGCTGGGATAGAGTTAACTGTCTTCCTAGTAGCTGGTCCGGTGCTGTGTTTTGAGTTCAGTATGTGAAGAATGTTGATAACACTGATGTTTTCAGTTGTTGCTCAGTAGTGTTTAGACTATAGTCAAGGATTTTTCAGCTTCTCATGCCCAGCCAGGGCACCTGACCCAAACTGGCCAACAGTGTATTCCATACCATGGGACGTCCCATCTAGTTTAGGAACTGGGAAGTGGGGGGCAGTGATTCACCGCTCGGGGAGTGGCTGGGTGTGGGTCGGCGGGTGGAGAGCAATTGCCCTGCACATCATTTGTACATTTCAATCCTTTTATTACTACTGTTGTCATTTTATTAGTGTTATCATTATTAGTTTCTTCTTTTCTGTTCTATTAAACCGTTCTCATCTCAACCCAGGAGTTTTACTTCTTTTCCCGATTTTCTCCCCCATCCCACTGGATGGGGGGGGAGCGAATGAGCGGCTGCGTGGTGCTTAGTTGCTGGCTGGGGGTAAACCACGACACTCCCATAGACTCCTATGCAATCCTAAGGCAAAACTTACATCAGTTCGGGGTTGACTCGTCACTGTGCACAGGAGTATTTTAGTCAAAAATCTACAGAACTAGTTTGAGTTGATATTCCCTAGTAAAACGCACACGCTGTTCTCTAGAGCTTTTTCCTGACAATTACATAATGCATTAAATAGGGACTGTTTTACTTTCAAGGCTAGCTTTCAAACACAGACAATAAATAGCATTATCAACTATCATCTTGAAACGCCACGTGAAGGCTACCATATACGAAATGAAGGCCAAGATGCCCATCGCTGGTGCCAGCTTTTTCAAATGCGACGGCAAGATTGAATTTTGCTCCCTGGGGGACCAGAGGTTGAAGAGGCAGGCACGCCGCCAGCTGTACGGACCCTGCGGCCACCCCGGCGTCCGACCCGGCTGCTGGGAGGGGGTGGCACACCCCACCGCCTCCATCCCATTCCTGGGACAAAACAATGGCGCAACCCCGGCTCCCAGGCCCCTGCCTGAGCAGCGGGGCCGCAGTTCATCTGCCCTGGCAGTCTGCCGCCTTAGCGACTGCCTGCTTTGCATATAGCTAGAAATACCCTTGGCTCCAGCCCGCATTCAAATCTCCCCACTGTAGTATTTTACCCCCGCCTTTTGTGCGGCCATGTTTCCTGTTTCCCTCGGGCTTGCTCCGTTTGCCACGTTATTTCTGGTTTCGTGCAGCCAGAGAAGAGGGCGAGCACACGAGAAACCGCCACCACGAGCGCAGGAAGCGGGGACAGCTGCCGCACCTGAAGCTAACGATCACTCGCCTAAAAACAAGCCCCTTCTCGGGGCAACAGGATGCCTTCAACCGCTTTGCTGCTGCTCAGCCGAAGGCCGGGGTTTAACGGGCTGCTGGGAGGCGGGAGAGCTGTTAATTGGCGCGCGCTGCTCCTCCAAAGCCCGGCAGGCCGCCCGCTTTACCTACAGCCGGCCTCTCGCTGGCTGCTGTCTTCCCCACACCACCCCTCCGGGGTTCCGCGACCGCCTGGCCCCGGGCCGCAGGCCG